ATCATCGATGTTCCGCCAGCGACATCAACTCCCTCACTGGGAAAAGAGAAAAATAGCCAAAATCAGATCGTTCACTCCCGGTATCATCCTTCACTTCCCCGCATTGAGCTCTAACGATCGGTATCGGCACCGCTCGCGTATCGAGCCCATTAATTCGCGATAATAAATCGAATAAGAGATATCGGTCGTCGTATTAAGATAGGTCAGGTCCGTGTCGAGCGGTCGGCGATAAACGTGAGGGGTTTGCATAATCGCGGCGGGCGTGCGCGAAGCACGAAGCGCGTATCTGCGCTCGCGAGCTGGCAAAAACACGCGTCGACACGTGTCCTAGTCAAGCTTCTTCACGTAACGTGAGGATCCGCATATGGATATTCCTAACATGTGGCATGCGCGAGCGCGCGATCGATCGATCGATCGACCGACCGATCGTTCGGTCGTTCGTTCGTTCGTTCGTTCGTTCGTTCGTTCGTTCGTTTATTTGTTCGTCAATAATCGTTATCGCGATTGCACGCGTGACCACTCGTGCTCAAAGGAAATAGAGAGTCGGAGATATACGGTCGTTCGCTAGGCGATCGCTAGGCGCGTGCGCACGCGCGTTCTCGCTCGCCGCTATTTTCAGCAAAGCGGGAACACTCGCCTCTGATCGGCGCAACGTGATATTACCGCGAACGGACGATTCGATTCGCGGAACCGCTGACTAACCGGCTTGGTCGCCGACGTAATAAATCGAGGCCGCAAGTCGCCGCCGTGGTGGCGGAAGGGCGGATAAAAGACAGGTTGCGGGCTACGTGGCGAGATGATACGGCGTTCTCCAGGCTCCTCTTTACGCTTCAACGACGGCATCGCTCACACGCGCGAAGGAAGAGGTGTCGAGTGTGGAGCACTTCCTAGAAACGTAATCCGCCTCTGTGTGACCGACCGGATTCGATACACTGTGTATCGAGTCGGTGTTTGGTTACGAAAACTTATCCGCTCCGTCCGGCGCCGAGCCGTATATGACGCTTACGCTGTTTGCGCAACAATGTTAGATCAAATCCCACATCGCCGAATGCCTCGATGTCATAAGTCGAGCATTTTACGATGTATGATTAATTCAATGGCGCGCAGCAGCGCGATATTTCCAATCAGGACCAGATGTTTCCACGTGGTTTAGTGGTGTTAATCTCTCGGTATGCATTTAAATACAGGTAGGCGCAAATCGCTGGATATTAATTCTTTCATTTTAATAAATCTAACGAGAGACGTATATGTATATAAATTAACGATGTTTATTATTATATTTCTATTAGACGTTTCAAGCACAATTCTATCGTTATCCGCACTGTCACGCGTTTATTATTATTAAGATTTACCTAACGTTTTTTTTTTCTCGGAAATTATCGCGCCGTTAATACTGATGTGAACGAAAAAAACATCAACAATTGATATCGCGGAATAACATTCGATACGTCCGTTCGCTATGCGCTCTCGCTTACAAAAACTGATTCCTGGGAACAAACAGTTTGGCGCCTGCTGTTAATTGAGCGAGATTCGGACACGTAATGTTTTATGGCTCGGTTTAATGGCGTTACTCGAGTGCGCGATCAATCGCGTCTCGTGTTACACGCCGATATCGTCTGGAAAAAAATTTTATACGTCGTATATAAAATCGCGCGCGCGGTTGCGTTCGCGACTAAAAATGCATCGACTTGCGGTCGCGGATATCTCGCGCCGCCTGCGGTTTTGTACGTCGCCGTCGCCAAACGGCGTCGGCAAACGATAACGACCAGATTCCGGTATATTTGCGACACGTGCTCACGAAATTCGGGGGCCCGCATGGCCGTGAAACGGAGCGTCAAGGTTAGATAATAACTTTCTTGCATCAGCAGTGCACGGCGGCATCGCAAACTCATTCTCAGATAGCGCGCGTGCGCGCGCGCGCGCGGCTGTGTGCGTCGTGCGCGTCGTGCGCGCGTATGCTAACTACGGGAAACCGGTTGGTGCGCACTAAATCGGATTGCGGGCTACTATTTTTCCCCATCGTTACGTCCTACTTAATGGCTTTCACATGTACACCGTCGTGTTCTTATTTTTATTCCGGAGTTCCTCTCCGGCGTGCCGTCTCTTTTTCTCTCTCTCT